ACAATAACCGTCGGGAAAAAGGTGTTCGGGAAAATAGGTTTCGGGTTTTCGGACTTTCGGGCAAAATACTATTCGGGAAAAAATTCATTCGGGTAATTCGATTCGGGAAAAACGGCGGGTACCAAAGAGTACTTTTTAATAAAAAATAAACATGTTGCCGATTTTCGTTAACTATTCCTGTATTCTTGAATGAACTAATAGATTACTAATAGACATGTTTTCATTATTTTTTATATTCAAATACATAGTCCATTTTTCATAACAAGCCATAATATGTCTTTCACTAGCTAAATGTTTCTTATAACATTCATTTTGTTTTCTCCAACATCTAAATCCCTTATCAACAAATACAATAGACCAGTAGTTCTCAACYGGGGTGACATGTCACCTAAGGGTGACATGAACCTAGCTTAGGGGTGACGCAGCATTTTAACAAGAAAAGGAAAAAAATTTAAAAAATTAATTTTTCCGAAAACAGTCATATAATTTCTTATAATAAATATATTATACACCTATACCACCACTGTCATGTACATAACATACTTTAAAGTTTGTATCTTTATAATAGTTTGTATTATTTATATTTAATCTTTTGGTCCGATAAACACGTGTACCTAGTAATAAATATACAGCTAAGATTGTTTATTATTTTGATGTTAGTGTGACGCAGTGTTTGATTCTAGTGGCTAAAGGTGGCATGAATCGAAAAAGGTTGAGAACTACTGCAATAGACCCTGATGTTTCACCAGTGAAACACTTATTTACAGGAACATTAATAGGGCCAAAATGTCTGCATACAAAACAATATACTATATCTTTCAAAACTAAATATTCAATCCAATTATATAGTTTATAATTATGTGAATTAAATRCTCTTTTCTGTTCATTTTTTGGAAAATATGGAAGTACTGGCTGTCTAGGATTATCATCTTTTGTAATAGATATGTCACATATCTATAGAAATCATAAAAGTTAATAATTTAATGTAAAACACTTATTTATATTTTTTATATAATAGTTTTTATAGTCTATGGCAACAGTTATAYCTGATAATCATTAACCAAATTTGTATTATTTTGATTTTTAATTTCTGATTGATTAATTATGGCATAATTAGAATAATTATCGTCAACTCTTGCATCATCATTCAAAACATCAGTTACCATATTAAAATCCTGTCCAAATATAGTTGAATAATATAATAAAATAGATTATAGATTAGAAGATTCATTGTTTTATGACAAAAAGTATAGGTTACCTCTCAATCATTAATTGAGGCATAATTAGAATAGTTGTTATCAACTCTTTTATCTTCTTTCAAAATATCTGATACAATATTGAAATCCTGTCCAAATAATTGAAAAATGTAATAATAATATATAGATTCATAGTTTTATGACAAGTATAGGTTACCTCTAAATTATTAGTCAACTTGGCATTATTTTGATTTTTAACTTCTGAATTTGAGGCATAATGAGGATAGTTGTTATCAACTTTTTTATTATCCTTCAAAACATCAGATACTGTATTAAAATCCTGACAAATAATTGAAAAATATAATAAAAGGTATGTATATTATAATTTATAATTAATAGGTAAAGTAGATTCATTGATTTATGACAGTATAAAAA